ATATATATATATATATATTCAATGCATATATTCTTCCTGATATATATTAGTACAAGGGTTGTGCTTAAAAGTGTGGTTATAGAGTACCTGAACTAAAGCTTGAAGCAGTTTTAAAAAAAAGGGGGGAATGGTAAAAATAAACAATTCTGAACTAGTCTATGGGTACCTGTAGTAATTTGCCTATATGCAAACTAACACAGGCGTGTTTATTTCAAGGTCAGTGTTTTCAGCTTGCCCCTTACTCCCATGTGCTCAGAGAGAGCAGGGCCTGACAGCAAGGAGTGGGGGGAAGTGGTTGCAGGGGAAAGAACCTGAGGGAGGCAGCAGGCAAGGGGGGATACCAGACCCCCCAGATTGATTTTTCCATGCTGTAACAGTGAGAAGGGGACAAATTCAAGGCAAACATCCAATAATTAGATTCTATACCTGGAAAATTATACGAATTTATCATATGTCCAGGTATAGAATCTTCTTATTGGGGGTTCATCTTCTATTCATAGTAATCTTATATTTAAAGAAAATACGGTATTAATTCACCCAGTGGCTGAAACTCTCCTGTACTTTCCTGTTCATTGTAGTTGTTTGCAAAAATAAAGTTGCTTACTAAAAGCTGTCTTTTCCATTTGATTTACCTTTAGATGCACAGTCAGATCTTCAAGCTGTTGGCTTCATGAAGCAACTCCAACACAAAGTGACATCAGACTGTCTGATATTTCAGTGTTAGCCTCCATCAGTGTGACCAATGACAGTACTGTTCCTTATCAAGAGAAAAATACATCTTAGTTCTGCAGTGAACTGTGAAGAACTGTAGACAGCTGTGACTTATCTTTCAAGAATGTTAGTTCTGCTTTAATCAAATCATGCAACCTTAAATAAAATACAAAGCTTGTGAAGCCATAATAATTTATCCATGCTAAATTCATTCAGACTAGCTGAAGGGAATTAGTTGCAACTGTACAAATATAAGTTTGGTGATAATCTTTGGGTGGTTATGAGTTTAAGGTGTAAGAGATTACCCCAAGGATATCTGCTCAACATACGTTTCACGTTATAACACTTCACACTCACAATGTTTATAAATTGACACCCTGTTTCAATTTTCTGACATCAGTTTTGACTTTACAATGCTTGATTCAATGCAACTCCATGCCAGCGAACAAGTTCACTGCGTTGCCCATCTCCCTGGAGAACATCTGTCCAAACTTCCTTGGACATTTTCTTTAAGAAAGCAAACAAACTTCAGCCAAGACTCCTGAGAAGACTCCAGACAAGAACCCTTCAAAAAATCCAATCAAGAGCCCTTCAAAAAGTCCAGCAAAGTCACCTCAAAAAAGTCCTACCAAATCAATATGATTGCTATTTACAATATAAACACATTGGTGTAGCTATATTACTCCTCTATAATTGATTGAGTACAAAATTCTGGGTTATTTTTGGTGAAAATAGGGTATTGGCCCTTGGTTCAGGAACCACCCCCCCATTTATAACATTGCTTCCTATGGGAAAATCGGTTCTGAGTTACAACGTTTCAAATTAAGACATAGTTTTCAGAAACCACTTGTGTTGTAAGTCTGAGGACTGCCTGTATTCAAGAAAAAAGGGTCTTCAGGGGCAAGTGGGTAGGTCTGGATATAAGAACTGAGGAAAAATGAAGAGACAGTTAAATGAGAGAGAAGGTTACTTCAGTCTGCTCTTCTTGTTGACTGTGCCACAAACAGGTAAGCATTAGGTACAAAAACATCCTAAAATGACAAGGAACAAAGAACACAATAGTTTACTAAGGGAATAGACAATCATATGTTTGTAGCAGCTTCAAAAGGAAAAAGAGGAAGCTGCCAGGGCTACACTGGACTGCACAGACACTGTTATGCTGTAACTGTGATGTGTGTGAGTCTGTAGCAATACAACTGAGCTAAATCACCCTAATTTTGGCCAGGGGATGAAATTAAATGAAGGTTGGAGTCACTCATGCACAGGTAACAATTGCACCATAAGAGCTGATGCCATCCCTGAACAGCAGCTTCCCCCTTCTCTTTTGAAGTGGCTTATCCCTACTCTCCATGAGGGGTGACACTTGAACAGAAAACATACATGCACACAAGCAGAAAAGGTGAAACGGATGGGGTATATGGAGTGCTTACCTGGAAAGAAACCCACGCTCAGCCAGTATGCTCCTTGTAAGAGCCCAATAGAGGGCAGGCTGGAATGACAAGGGAAAAGGACACTGAGTCACTTGCCCTCGTCCAGAGGAGGCACTTGTTTTGCATGAAATTTTTGACAGAGAAAATGTGATTTTTCTTGTGGACATAATTGTCTTGTTACTCTGATCAAACAAACTAAAGTCCCTGCTTCAGAAAAGGTCAACAGTTGGTGCAATGTCTGAAGTACACAACAAAAGAGGATCAGACTCTGCGGACTCCACAGGGGGTCTGACTGGATGATCTAATAGGTCCTTTACGAACCTAGAAATCCATGAAATCTGTGAAAAATAGGAAGTTCTACCAGGATCAAAAGCAGAAGGAAAACCAGTCACTCGTGGCCAGAATATGAGAAGCCACAAGTGCACAGCTGTGAGTATAACTCATGCAATTCTCATGTCAGCATCTATGTGAACTTAAGTGAATATCTGGTCATTTTCAGAATGCTTACGAGCATTTTAGCAATCCATCCAACAAGTTGCAAAAAAATTGCAGTTTGCACATATGGGTGGTCAGAGT